AGGAAAGTTAATGAAGGTTGGAGCAGAATTCATGTTTAGCTGTATTGAGAAAATTCATGGAAGATACTAAGTAGACCTTTCATGGTGCTGTAACACACAATCCTATTCCTTTTGTATCTTGCAACATCATCACTAAATCAATCAGAAAAAAGTAACTATTCAATAAATAGATTTCATTGACAATGATTTTAAAAAAAAGTAAAGACAGCACACAGTAGCTTGCATTTCTGTATTTCATAAAAGCAATCAATATATTCCTGCAATTTCCCTTTTGTGTTCCATGCTGTTTTCTTCTTTTAGTATGGAGAAACGAAATTTTTTTTAGCTCTGTCAATAGCTGTTCCAGATGTCTTAGTAAAAAGAATTGTTACTTCTGAGTAGACTTTTTTTTTTTTTAAACACAATCGAGCATGCTTTCTAAACTGATTGACATTTCTTTGTTAGTACTCAGATCTATAGCTACAGATTCAAAAGATTCAGAATGGTTAAGAGGAGATTATAATAGGTAAATGAAAGTAGTTTTTATAAAATGCAATTCTATCTTTTCCTAACACTGTTTTTCGCCATAGCATTTCAGGGTTTTTTAATCTGTTTATAAATACTACTTTTGGGAGAGAAATCTGCAAAATAGGAATATATACAATAATCTATAAAGGCCATAGCTTGATGAATTTTTGGTGTAACACTATGGGAAAATTTAACAAGAATAACAACTTCTCCAGTCCAAAAGCTTCCATTTAATAAAATATCATTGCCTAAATTGTGTAGCTTTTAAATACAGAGGAGCATCTCTTTCTTCATAGAAGAATCCCATTAAAAATTACACTCTAAGTTATTATCGGAGACAAAGTCAGAAGAAACAGTCAGAGAAGGCAGATCACTCCTTGTGCCTATTCCAGATTTGTCAGTTCTGTTAAAGTTATGCCAACATTCTACTGCCCTCTGCTCTTCTCATTTCTTCTGAGTGGCAGCTTTTAACTTTTCAAATATTTCTTTAATCATTGTAACACTAAATTTTGCACACATCTTTACCTTCTGGCCCTCAGTCTCCAAAACCCAAGTTAAAAATAATGTTAGAAGAGAAAAAGAAAGACATTACCATCTGAAATACATCTGAGCCTTCATCAAAATCTACCATAGCAAAAAAAATCTTATTGGTAAATGCACTGGAATATCGCCAGGAGTTTGCCAGAATCTGGTATTCCTCATCAGCTTGCCTGTAAAACACACAAAGTGAGATGCTGTATCAGATGTCTGTCCAGAACACAAGTTACAAAACAGCTGAGGGAGCTGTAGCCACCCGCCCCATTAATGGGTGCATCCCACACACCCCTACATTAATTTTCTAGTGTTAAAGTTTAAGGCCAGACGCTTATCTAACAATTAAGTGAAGCATTTGGCACCGCTGTTTTTTCAAATGCAAGGGCAAGTCTCGTTGAGTCCATGAACACAAGCAGTGGTAATTTCTAATTGAAATTTGAAATGGAACCCAGCAGCTCACGATTCGCTAGCCCACAAAGCACCATAACAAGTATAGGTATGCCCTCTTTTCCACGTCAGAGGACAGGAAACCAATTAATTTCAACTAACTAGGTATAAAAATCATCTTTACAGACCTCTGCCACCTCCAGATTAATACATGAAAGCCATAATGCGGTTAAGGATCCAGCATATTACAATTGTAAATAAATAATTGCCAATCAACATATTAATTAACAGCAACTTTTTAGACTGCATAGCCAGAAGTAATTCTACAAACATTTCTTCAGCAGCTATGCCAGGAAAGTTGAGTTTTCACCCCATCTTTCTCCAGAAGCCTGTCAGCGTGCACGTTGTTTCCGCAAAGCAGCAATTATTTTAGGAGGGAGATAAATAATTAAGGACTATGTTGTTTTCTCATATACATATTACATGTATATTCCCACACATTTGATTTCAAAGATAATCCTACTATAATGTGCCCTAGCGTATTCCTCCCATGTACATAAAAGTTTTATCCTATTCTTTAAATTTAATTTCCTACAAAGCATATGATGACTTTCAAGTTCTAATTTAGGACTAAATTAAGCCCATACTTGCACACAACACACTGTCTGTGAGGCTGAAGAGCAGTGAACATCACAATCACCGAGTAATTTCTGGGTGGTGCCTTCACAAGGCGTCGAAATTTGTCTCCATTCATTCGAATAACAGATCTTTTACTAGCCCACTCCATTAGCTGGTTCACTTTTTCTGATAACACCATCTGAAAATAAAGTCAGAGAAATTGTTGGGTTTTCCCCCCCCAGTCTCACAGTACAATCTTGAAAGTTTTTAGATTTGATGTAATTCATAAGAACACCAACCACTTGATGTGATACTTCATTAAGATTCTTGAAGGCATTCATAGATCCTTTTGACAGTCACGCTAATATTATTCATTTACTTTAAGCACTTAGTATTACACACGCTTTAAGCACTTGGTATTACACATGCTGGTGAAGACTCTCAGCTCACTAGTACTTTTTCATGTTGCTAACTGTAAGATCTCTTTGAGACGTACAAACTGCCCCAAATCACTCCTCAGTATTTATTCGATACTAAGCATCACATTCCGTTTCAGAAGATTTCAAAGCTTGGTGTGAGCAGAATCAACACTAGAGACAGAAGCACTATGGAAGCAAACTCAACATCTGATTTTCAGTGTTACTGGAAAAAGCTTGGTTCAGTACATGTTTAGAGAACTCGGGAGCGCTCAACACTAAGCTCTTCTTTAAAAATGAGCCAACCAATTCTGTAACATTATACAAAGCAGTATTAGGTAAGTGAAAAACCCCCAAATGTAACATTTATCATAGACTATTTCTGTACTCCTTATTAACACCCTTCTTCAGATAGATACCGTAGGGTAAATAATAAACTACCCTTCTTTGACTTACAGCTGACACAAGTATATACAGCGGGTTCTATTCAAACCTTAGGAGTCAAGTGTGTGGAAATAAGCGACACCTTTGTGATTACAACCAGAGGCAGTCGGCGCCCCCACCCTCCCCCTCCAAATCTCACGTAACGCTCTTACGGCGTTTTTTACAAGAAGAGAACCTGGAATTAAACACTCTCGAAAGTAAAAGAAAACTGAGAACGGTACGATTCTAAAAAGACAACTGCTCCGCTCGGCCCCCAGCGTGCCCGCGGGCTTCCCCTCAGAG